GCGGGTAATCGAACACAATAATCACCAGCTGGCAAACGATCGACTTGCCTTACAAAGTGTTCCTCACAGTCTAACCTTTATCCTGTTATCCTAATTGACTCGGCGCAGCTTTCCACTTCCCAACCTAACCGAACCAAACTATTTTCCTTGCTATCGAGTGGTAGATCAAGAGACGACATTAAGGAGGAGCCTTGGGAGAGGCTATGACCTTCAGAAACAACCCAACTCAGGCGAGTCCTTTGAATTTGGATTTGCCCAACGCACAACAGCTCTTAGAAAATGCTGGCTCCAATTAAGAGGTCTACATGCTGGAGAAGGTAAAACTTATGGTCAGCTAACTGTATATTTTGAGGTATGTTCCAGTTTCCGGTGCGTTTACTGCAGTAATGTTAACTGAGTATTCGGAAGTTCGGGACTGCATTGTAATATTAACCAAGTGACCATCCGCCACAAAATTAGAACCTCCTATCCCTATTACAGATGCTGAAGTCCTTGTCTTCTTTGTTTGAAGCTGGTTTGCTAATCGTGATTTTAGTAGGTGCAGCTGAGAGCCCGAATCGAGTATAGCTTGACAAAAATAAGAACCCCAGAATGTTTTTTTTTTACTAAAACGCTGGCTTTTGCTAAGAGCACAATATCATTACTAAAATCCTGTGCAGTACAGTATAAGTGGAAGGAAATACAAAGAATTCTATGACACGACTGAGTGAGGCAGCGGCAAGCGCTTCTGGAGACTGCGATGTTTCTTGCGAGGAAGTGGAACCTAAATTTCCCAGGTGAAGAAGGGTGTGGTGCTTAGATCCGCATGCACGGAAATTACTGGAACTGCAATCCTTCACTTGATGACCAGTCTTTAGGCAATTTATGCAAAGGGCGAGCTTTTTTGCCTTGTAAAGGCGATTTGTAGGAGTACGGTTTTTAAAATTCTGACAATGGAAAATATAGTGACCCACATCATTACAGAATGCACAGATCCAAGGGTTTAGATTTGTGGCAACAAGTGCAAATCTACGCGTATTGAAAAATCAGTGCAGATACATTGCGCTTGTTTGCTCAGCTATAACAACAAAAACTAGCAGACTAAATGTCCGAAACTGGGCTATAGCGGGAAGATGAGCGTAAAAAGGGCGAGGAAACAACGACCCGTTATTTGGCTATGTTCGCGACTATGTAAAACGAAACTAGGCCTTTATATGCAAGCTTGCGTAATCACAAAACTTATATTAATTTTTAATGCTAACTGCAATTATACTGCATGTGGCGACGAACGTTATGTTGATCTGTCAACGTACCACAGCCGCAACAAAGACAGGGTCATATAAATAGATACGTATGATTTGCCAATCACCAATGTTGAGCTAATAACCTGTTGTAAAATTGAAGAAAAAATAAAAAGTTTGTTTTATATACTGGCTAACAATTCATTTGCAATGTTGAAAGCAAGTTCGTACTACCTTACAAGAGTTTGCCAGCCGAGCGCTGGGCACAAGAATGCAACCCAACACAGTGAAAGAGCCAGAGAGCGTGATCGAAAGAAATGCGTGATGGGATGCAGCTGACAACCCAAGTTAAGAGACGGTAACTACTTTCTTTGGCTGGCCGACATACTCTCCCAGTTGGAAGTCTGGGTACGGCAACTCGAGCAACGCCGTCTCCACCGATAAGAAGCTCGGCCACTCTTGCCAGGGGCCAAGGGAGGCAAATTTTCATCCTTGACCAGGTTCAAGTCATCGACGATCAGAACAGGCTTTGGTGTAAAGTATTCTTCCTTCCATCGGGCCCAGAAGATCTGCTGTATGTAAGCCACGCCATCCATCTAGGCGATTGAAGTTAAGGTTGGTCACATCAGGCTCGACAAATAACACATCCAGATAAGCAGGGTTCTCTGAAATCGAGACTAAGGGTCAAGAACGAACTACTTCAGAAATATGGCACACAAGGGTCAGCAACTCATCAAAGGCTAGAACTGAAGGGCCAACAGCGCAATAGAAATGATTCTAATCCTAGATACATATTTGATTCTTCTAGTTTGAGTTCCCTAAGGGATTGCCTGCTATCCTCGAATTGGGGTGCCTTGCTATCGAACTATGGCATTGAAACTAATTATAAAACCTTTCATTCAACGATTAGAAATACTCCTGACAGCATAGTCCGTTCCAAGGTACGGGGTTCTACAGGCATCCGTATACTAATGGACTGCAAAAATACAAAAACCATAGGAACAAATGAAATGTACAGGCAGTACAAACGTGGGTTTGAGTTTTTTTAATAAATTTCTGTATAACAAATACATTTGTGAAGTTGAGCATAGTTAGAAATCCAACCCTAAGGCGTTTTGGCGCATTGTTAACTCTAAAAAATCACATTCGTCTATACCTTCGTACGGTGATTTCAGAAATTTTAAATTAAGCCTCCTTCACTTTTTTTCTATTTCGCTTTGTCCATTGTGATGTCAAGGCCTCTTCATCTTGCTGTCTCGCTCTCTGGCATATGGAAATAGCCAAGCCGTTAACAATATAGCACATACTAACAATATACCACAAGTACTATTAGAAGGATATTTCTTTGTTAAACAATTTTACAATAGTGGTAATGGTTGCTTTTTATTTAAGTAAATTTAAACCGAACATTGAATTGCAGGAAAATATGCGAATAAGTCTAATCCTGGTGTAATAATAAAAAATAAGAATTCTGATAACAGGATATGCGGCCGTGTATGTGTATATATGCATTTGCAGCTGACGGGGGAAATAAGATTCGCTTAAAAACAAATTTTGTATAATACCTACTGATATCCATTTGGAAAAAAATATTTAATTTCAAAATCTTTAACAGATTTAACGCATTTAACACATATTGATATTGTTATTTTCAAACTAAAATTAAATTCCTACACAGAGAGAGATTGTCTTCTCAATTTTCACATATCACTTTTTTCTTATCCAATTGATACGCATTCATTTTAAAATGTGGAAATAAATCCGTATCATATTGATATGAATTCAATTTTGCAAATGGTCTCAAATTTAATTGTATTTACTTGATGTTTATCTAATTCGATTTTATTTACTTCTTGAACACCGCAACGTACTTTTCGGAGGCTGGATTACTCACATTGTACTACAACAAAGTCAAATGGCTGGTCAGGATGCCGAGCTGGGCAATTTGGCATTCACACACTTGGCTGGGAGACATCTATCGAGGATAGGAGAAAGACTTCCTGGAGCTGTTGTAAGCCTACATGAGTGGTCAGAGTTAAGAGTGATCGGCCATACATGGCTAAGTCCTCGAAATATGTTTGTAATACACCGGAAATGAATTGAAAAAAAACACCTTAGCCAAATTTAAAGTTCCTCTCTATGTCGCCGCAAGTTCCACACCGCTTGCGTTGATGTGCCGCAAGACGGAATCAAACTTATAACAACCATGCCCAATCTTATGTGTCATTGCGACAGTTGCGTTGTGAGCAATGACTCGCATTCCAAAACAGATGAAATTTTGAAAGATCTTTGTGAACTCAAAAGTCTTTATTAAACTTTAAATGCCAAATTTCTGAAAGCCTTTCCGGAATCTACTATGGCAAACTTGAAAACCAATCAGCGAAGGATGGATAAACCTCATATCCCAGCGCCAGTTGCATTAACATCCGATCAAGTTAACCTTCTTCCGACCATGATCCCGTTATATCAACGTAACTGATGGAAAAAAAGCTCTACCAAGCAAACGTTTTCTGCACATTGGCAAATTTCCAGTAAACACACAACCAGAGGCGCTGTGTAAATATGTTTCGGAAAGGTTGAGCGTTAAGCAAAACTTAATTATTTCCAATTCTCTAACTAAAAAAGACGTGAATATGAACACGTTGACACTCATCAATTTCAAACTTGAATTACCAGAGCAGTATTACCAATCGGTTTTCAGTAATGAATTTTGGCCACAATCATTCACAGGGAGAGATCAAAATCCCCCTTAGACTCTACGGTTGTGCATTTCTTAGAAGGAGGACCTTTTCTCACTTCGACTCCTTCTGAAGGTGAATCAAAAACCCCCAATAGTCGACGTCACTGACATAGACGTAACTATCGGCCTGTTCTTGGATCCAACTGCTCTTCGTTTCGGTTAACTGCCCTATTCACAACAACAACTTCAATAATCGGCTATTTTTCCGGCTAACAATTTATTTTCTGGACAAGATGTCATAAATCTCAGTTTCGACTTCAGAAAAACAGTTCATCGCGAGCTGCTTCGGATTCTGCAATTTCTTTTGCGTTGCTTATGCTCGCAATTTACAATAGTTACACTCCCATACTGCGCTCTCTCTGGATTGACGCTCTCTGTTCATCATTCTGCTCTCCTGCATTCGCCGTTTGCCTTTCGCAATATCGCTCGCCGCACTCTGCCTACACTTGCTCTCTCTTCGCTTTCTGCCGTTTCGCCGCATGCCTGGAATGCGCTCATCGAAAATATGTTCTCTAAATAATCGCCCATGTTGTTAAATCAACATAGGATACTGCGAACTTCGGATTCTGACACTAATGAGCTCAGCGCGTCTCTTGGGATAGCGCTCTCTTATATGAGTAGTCGGATAATCTCTTCACTGTGCTCTTCCCAATATTCCCAATTCAACTGCACTATTATTCCTTGCAACGATGATCTTAACCTGCCTATAAGAATACGTACGGATACGTTGCGCAAGGTACTTAATAAAACTTATGATCAGCAAGGCCGACATCTAATTTGGATGTTGAGAATTCCTCTTCAACAATATGCGCTGACTGGCAAACTGCTAGGGGCGTGTCTGCAGAAAATTCAAACAGCCATCATTCAGGAAATAATGGCCTGAAAATATACTTTACAAAATATATCTGGCATGAGAACTAAAACGCAATCTGTCTTTATAAGTACTTCCAAAAGTGATTATGACATTATCACACTGGTTGAAACTTTGTTAAATTCTAACATAAGTTCGAATGACTTCTTCGATCCTACATTATTTCAAGTTTTTCGTAAAGATAGAGACTTCGGCAGAATTCAGTCCGAGAGAGGTGGTGGATTCATCGTGGCTGTTAGCCGTACATTCTGTTGCACTGTAATTCGACTCCTTAATGATGACTCGCTTCTGGACCAGTTGGCGTTGACGGTTTCTGGCTCATCCGGGAAGATATCGATTGTGGCTTCCTATGTTCCACCTGGTAATGATTCTGGGCTTTTCCAGGCTCACCTAGACAACATTTTTAACATCCATGCCAGATTGGAGGGCTCTGATGGCTCTGTGGCAGGAGACTTCAACCTCAGTTCTGTTTTCTGAACGTGTGACCCACGAGCATTTGCTATGGTTCCCGGATATGTACATCATTCACATGAAATAATTGTCATTAATGACTGTTTTAGTATGCGCCTTACCCAAATTGCTAGTATTTTCAATGATTTGCATAAGCTTCTTAATTCAATCTTCACTAATTCTATTGTTCGCTCTAACGTAACTTTTGCTGAATTTACCATTTCAAATTGCGTTGTGCATTACAAACCCTTGTTCTTAATCATTGTATTTTACAGCTTTCTGCCATTTATTGATTCTAATCCTAGATACATATTTGATTCTTCTAGTTTGAGTTCCCTAAGGGATGGCCTGCTATCCTTGAATTGGGGTGCCTTGCTATAGAACTCTTGAAACTAATTATAAAACATTTCATTCAACGATTAGAAATACTCCTGACAGCATAGTCCGTTCCAAGGTACGGGGTTCTACAGGCAACCGTATACTAATGGACTGCAAAAATACAAAAACCATAGGAACAAATGAAATGTACAGGCAGCACAAACGTGGGTTTGAGTTTTTTAATAAATTTCTGTATAACCAATACATTTGTGAAGTTGAGCATAGTTAGAAATCCAACCCTAAGGCGTTTTGGCGCATTGTTAACTCTAAAAAATCACATTCGTCTATACCTTCGTACGGTGATTTCAGAAATTTTAAATTAAGCCTCCTTCACTTTTTTTCTATTTCGCTTTGTCCATTGTGATGTCAAGGCCTCTTCATCTTGCTGTCTCGCTCTCTGGCATATGGAAATAGCCAAGCCGTTAACAATATAGCACATACTAACAATATACCACAAGTACTATTAGAAGGATATTTCTTTGTGAAACAATTTTACAATAGTGGTAATGGTTGCTTTTTATTTAAGTAAATTTAAACCGAACATTGAATTGCAGGAAAATATGCGAATAAGTCTAATCCTGGTGTAATAATAAAAAATAAGAATTCTGATAACAGGATAAGCGGCCGTGTATGTGTATATATGCATTTGCAGCTGACGGGGGAAATAAGATTCGCTTAAAAACAAATTTTGTATAATACCTACTGATATCCATTTGGAAAAAAATATTTAATTTCAAAATCTTTAACAGATTTAACGCATTTAACACATATTGATATTGTTATTTTCAAACTAAAATTAAATTCCTACACAGAGAGAGATTGTCTCCTCAATTTTCACATATCACTTTTTTCTTATCCAATTGATACGCATTCATTTTAAAATGTGGAAATAAATCCGTATCATATTGATATGAATTCAATTTTGCAAATGGTCTCAAATTTAATTGTATTTACTTGATGTTTATCTAATTCGATTTTATTTACTTCTTGAACACCGCAACGTACTTTTCGGAGGCTGGATTACTCACATTGTACTACAACAAAGTCAAATGGCTGGTCAGGATGCCGAGCTGGGCAATTTGGCATTCACACACTTGGCTGGGAGACATCTATCGAGGATAGGAGAAAGACTTCCTGGAGCTGTTGTAAGCCTACATGAGTAGTCAGAGTTAAGAGTGATCGGCCATACATGGCTAAGTCCTCGAAATATGTTTGTAATACACCGGAAATGAATTGAAAAAAAACAACTTAGCCAAATTTAAAGTTCCTCTCAATGTCGCCGCAAGTTCCACATCGCTTGCGTTGATGTGCCGAAAGATGGAATCAAACTTATAACAACTAAGCCCAATCTTCAGTGTCATTGCGACAGTTGCGTTGTGTAAAATGACTCGCATTCCAAAACAATTGAAATTTTGAAAGATCTTTGTGAACTCAAAAGTCTTTATTAAACATTAAATTCCAAATTTCTGAAAGCCTTTCCGGAATCTACTATGGCAAACTTGAAAACCAATCAGCGAAGGGTGGATAAACCTCATATCCCAGCGCCAGTTGCATTAACATCCGATCAAGTTAACCCTTCTTCCGACCATGATCCAGTTATATCAACGCAACTGGTGGAAAAGAAGCTCTACCAAGCAAACGTTTTCTGCACATTGGCAAATTTTTTTTACGGTTTTCAGTAATGAATTTTGGTCATAATCAGTAAAAGTGAGCCAGTTCATTCATAGGGAGAGATCCAAATCCCCCTTGGACTCTACCGTTATACATTTCTTAGAAGGAGGACCGTTGCTCACTTCGACTCCTTCTGAAGGTGAATCAAAAACCCCCAACAGTCGAAGTCACTGACATAGACGTCACTATCGGCCTGTTCTTGGATCCAACTGCTCTTCGTTTCGGTTAACTGCCCTATTCACAACAACAACTTCAATGGTCGGCTACTTTTCCGGCTAACAATTTATTTTCTGGACAAGATACCATAAGTCTCAGTTTCGACTTCAGAGAAACAGTTCATCGCGAGCTGCTTCGGATTCTGCTACTTCTTTTGCGTTGCTTATGCTCGCAATTTACAATAGATTGACGCTCTCTGTTCATCATTCTGTGCCCCTGCATTCGCCGTTTGCCTTTCGCGATATCGCTCGCCGCACTCCGCCTACACTTGCTCTCTCTTCGCTTTCTGCCGCTTCGTCGCATGCCTAGAATGCGCTCATTGAAAATATGTTCTCTAAATAATCGCCCATGGAGTTAAATCAACATCGGATGCTGCGATCTTCGGTTTCTGACACTAATGAGCTCAGCGCGTCTCTTGGGATAACGCTCTCTTATATGAGTAGTCGGATAATCTCTTCACTGTGCTCTTCCCAATATTCCCAATTCGACTGCACTATTATTCCTTGCAACGATGATCTTAACCTGCCTATAAAAATACGTACGGATACGTTGCGCAAGGTACTTAATAAAACTTATGATCATGCAAGGCCGACATCTAATTTGGATGTTGAGAATTCCTCTTCAACAATACGCGCTGACTGGCAAGCTGCTAAGGGCTTGTCTGCAGAAAATTCAAACAGCCATCATTCAGAAAATAATGGCCTAAAAAAAATATACTTTTAAAATATATCTGGCATGTACCTAATGCCTAGTACTCACATCGAAGAAAACTTCGAGCTAACCATAGGAATGAGCGAGATGCAAAAAGGCGGCTAAAGCTTTTCGTCGGGTCTGTTTATCAACGGGGTACTCAGATGAGCTAAGGAAATACCAGAAAAAATACCAGATTTTCTCCCATTTTTAATTTTTAAATTCCCCAACGCTTCTGCACGAACACCGCCAAAGATTAAATATCTTATTCTTTGGGCCGCGGCTAACGGCGTTCATCGAAAATTCACTCGCGAAACCAGGTATTTTTTATGGTATTTCCTTAGCTCATCTGAGTACCTAGCTGAAAAACAGAAAAGACGAAAAGCTTTAGCCACCTGTTTGCTTCTCGCTCACTCCTATGGTTAGCTCGCAGTTTTCGTCGATGTGAGTACTAGGCTTAAATAAAAACCTTCGTTGAGCATTTTATTTATTTTTATGTTAATTTCTTTGTCCATTAGCAGACTATTCTTTTTTAAATGGCTCCAATTGATTTGTTTTCCGTTTGGCAACAACTCCAGTTGCTTGACAGTAAGACCATGCCACATGCATTGCGGGTGAACTATGAAAACTGCGGTCACACTACTAAGAATAAGATTTTTCGACTAGTGAAACTTTTAGCCGATCTGAGTACTAGGCTTAAAACGCAATAAATACTTCCAACAGTGATTATGACATTATCACACTGGTTGAAACTTGGTTAAATTCTAACATTAGTTCGAATGACTTCTTCGATCCTACATTATTTCAAGTTTTTCTCAAAGATAGAGACTTCGGCAGAATGCAGTCCGAGAGAGGTGGTGGTTTCATCGTGGCTGTTAGCCGTACATTCTGTTGCACTGTAATTCGACTCCTTAATGATGACTCGCTTCTGGACCAGTTGGCGTTGACGGTTTCTGGCTCATCCGGGAAGATATCGATTGTGGCTTCCTATGTTCCACCTGGTAATGATTCTGGGCTTTTCCAGGCTCACCTAGACAACATTTTTAACATCCATGCCAGATTGGAGGGCTCTGATGGCTCTGTGGCAGGAGACTTCAACCTCAGTTCTGTTTTCTGAACGTGTGACCCACGAGCATTTGCAATGGTTCCCGGATATGTACATCATTCACATGAAATAATTGTCATTAATGACTGTTTTAGTATGCGCCTTACCCAAATTGCTAGTATTTTCAATGATTTGCATAAGCTTCTTAATTCAATCTTCACTAATTCTATTGTTCGCTCTAACGTAACTCTTGCTGAATTTACCATTTCAAATTGCGTTGTGCATTACAAACCCTTGTTCTTAATCATTGTATTTTACAGCTTTCTGCCATTTATTGATTCTAATCCTAGATACATATTTGATTCTTCTAGTTTGAGTTCCCTAAGGGATGGCCTGCTATCCTTGAATTGGGGTGCCTTGCTATAGAACTCTTGAAACTAATTATAAAACATTTCATTCAACGATTAGAAATACTCCTGACAGCATAGTCCGTTCCAAGGTACGGGGTTCTACAGGCATCCGTATACTAATGGACTGCAAAAATACAAAAACCATAGGAACAAATGAAATGTACAGGCAGCACAAACGTGGGTTTGAGTTTTTTAATAAATTTCTGTATAACCAATACATTTGTGAAGTTGAGCATAGTTAGAAATCCAACCCTAAGGCGTTTTGGCGCATTGTTAACTCTAAAAAATCACATTCGTCTATACCTTCGTACGGTGATTTCAGAAATTTTAAATTAAGCCTCCTTCACTTTTTTTCTATTTCGCTTTGTCCATTGTGATGTCAAGGCCTCTTCATCTTGCTGTCTCGCTCTCTGGCATATGGAAATAGCCAAGCCGTTAACAATATAGCACATACTAACAATATACCACAAGTACTATTAGAAGGATATTTCTTTGTGAAACAATTTTACAATAGTGGTAATGGTTGCTTTTTATTTAAGTAAATTTAAACCGAACATTGAATTGCAGGAAAATATGCGAATAAGTCTAATCCTGGTGTAATAATAAAAAATAAGAATTCTGATAACAGGATAAGCGGCCGTGTATGTGTATATATGCATTTGCAGCTGACGGGGGAAATAAGATTCGCTTAAAAACAAATTTTGTATAATACCTACTGATATCCATTTGAAAAAAAATATTTAATTTCAAAATCTTTAACAGATTTAACGCATTTAACACATATTGATATTGTTATTTTCAAACTAAAATTAAATTCCTACACAGAGAGAGATTGTCTCCTCAATTTTCACATATCACTTTTTTCTTATCCAATTGATACGCATTCATTTTAAAATGTGGAAATAAATCCGTATCATATTGATATGAATTCAATTTTGCAAATGGTCTCAAATTTAATTGTATTTACTTGATGTTTATCTAATTCGATTTTATTTACTTCTTGAACACCGCAACGTACTTTTCGGAGGCTGGATTACTCACATTGTACTACAACAAAGTCAAATGGCTGGTCAGGATGCCGAGCTGGGCAATTTGGCATTCACACACTTGGCTGGGAGACATCTATCGAGGATAGGAGAAAGACTTCCTGGAGCTGTTGTAAGCCTACATGAGTGGTCAGAGTTAAGAGTGATCGGCCATACATGGCTAAGTCCTCGAAATATGTTTGTAATACACCGGAAATGAATTGAAAAAAAACAACTTAGCCAAATTTAAAGTTCCTCTCAATGTCGCCGCAAGTTCCACATCGCTTGCGTTGATGTGCCGAAAGATGGAATCAAACTTATAACAACTAAGCCCAATCTTCAGTGTCATTGCGACAGTTGCGTTGTGTAAAATGACTCGCATTCCAAAACAATTGAAATTTTGAAAGATCTTTGTGAACTCAAAAGTCTTTATTAAACATTAAATGCCAAATTTCTGAAAGCCTTTCCGGAATCTACTATGGCAAACTTGAAAACCAATCAGCGAAGGGTGGATAAACCTCATATCCCAGCGCCAGTTGCATTAACATCCGATCAAGTTAACCCTTCTTCCGACCATGATCCCGTTATATCAACGCAACTACTGGAAAAGAAGCTCTACCAAGCAAACGTTTTCTGCACATTGGCAAATTTCCAGTAAACACACAACCAGAGGCGCTGTGTAAATATGTTTCGGAAAGGTTGAGCGTTAAGCAAAACTTAATTATTTCCAATTCTCTAACTAAAAAAGACGTGAATATGAACACGTTGACACTCATCAATTTCAAACTTGAATTACCAGAGCAGTATTACCAATCGGTTTTCAGTAATGAATTGTGGCCACAATCATTCATAGGGAGAGATCCAAGTCCCCCTTGGACTCTACGGTTGTGCATTTCTTAGAAGGACTCCTTCTAAAGGTGAATCAAAAACCCCCAATAGTCGACGTCACTGACATAGTCGTCACTATCGGCCTGTTCTTGGATCCAACTGCTCTTCGTTTCGGTTAACTGCCCTATTCACAACAACAACTTCAATGGTCGGCTACTTTTCCGGCTAACAATTTATTTTCTGGACAAGATGTCATAAATCTCAGTTTCGACTTCAGAGAAACAGTTCATCGCGAGCTGCTTCGGATTCTGCAATTTCATTTGCGTTGCTTATGCTCGCAATTTACAATAGTTACACTCCCATACTGCGCTCTCTCTGGATTGACGCTCTCTGTTCATCATTCTGCTCTCCTGCATTCGCCGTTTGCCTTTCGCAATATCGCTTGCCGCACTCTGCCTACACTTGCTCTCTCTTCGCTTTCTGCCGTTTCGTCGCATGCCTGGAATGCGCTCATTGAAAATATGTTCTCTAAATAATCGCCCATGGAGTTAAATCAACATCGGATG